GATTCCTTATAAGATTATCTACCTTTATCAAAAAAAAAATGTCTATTAGAAAGTCGAATTAAATTTTTATGAGCGTTTGAAATTCAAATTTTTACAGCATTGGATATTCACTCGATTTCTCATGTAGCGATTTCTTTTTTTTGTTGTAACTCAAAAAAAAATAACTGTAAATACATGAAAATTTCACTGAATGTTTATATTAGCATTTCCTATACATCATACAATTTTAAAAATATTTTGACTCTTTTTGAGCTGTTTACGGACATTTTCAGTTTTCAATTTTTTTAGTTTTTTTTTCTATAAATATCAATAAAGTTTTTTCTGTTGTTACATAATATATTGTGTGTATCATGTAATTTTTTTTTGTCAATCTAAATGGTACATATTGTATTAATATTATAGTTAGAAGAAATATGGTATATACATTTTGTACAAATATATTTATTAAAAATACAAATCTTTGGTCTGGACAACGTGGGGCGGGACAGCTAGTTATTAATATTATTTAACTTCCAATATGCGCCTATACCCAATATTCCTATGCCTACCAATTTAATACTTGAACAGTATAACTAAAACATAGTAATAAGATTTTAATAAATAATAATAGTATCGAATATAAATAAAAATAATATAGATACATTCCCGATTTAAAAAATCTATAAAAATATGGTTGCCACGGGTGTTTGTAAGTGTTTAAAACATTATAATTCTTTTCTGTGCGTATTCATTACCAAAACAGTTATCAGTATCTACCTATTTGTTACCACGAACTTTACGGATAATTTATAATACAATATAAAAATCTCAACGTACTTTTCGTTTAGTATAATATTAACTTAACCGTATCAGATCAATATGTCGAATATTGCAGCACTTGAGACTTCGCCCAAATGCAATATCCAGTCCGTCACCGAAATAATGCCCGAGGTTTTCGACGAGCTACAGGCAAATAAAACGAACACTTTGGAATCTCGAGTTATCAATTGTTCACAGGCGCACAAGCTACATAAATCGACACCTGATGTGACTGTGCAGAATAAGTCCGCAGGTGCAGATGCACCCGAGATCTGGTTGCAGTCTACGACCCAAGTTATGCGACGATATAATTCTATGCCTAATATACCTGTGAGATCAAACTCCGCAAGCGATGTACCAGGTATCGAGTTGCCTTCGGTCGCACCCATGGTGGAGATGCAAGTTACGACAGATTCACCGTCCACCGAGTTGCCAGGTACGACACCTGCAGCCACTGCAGAAGTTGGCGAGATCGAGTCGCCGTCAACCATCTCGTCATCTTTGCCACATGTTAGGCCGGTAGAAGCCGATGACGTGCTGCAGTCGAGTCCGACGTGCAACATGGCAGCTCTGCAGTTTGACGGCACCGAGTGTATAAACTGTACGACGAAACCATCAGTCCACCGGGCAAATAGTGTCCAGGATATGGCGCTAACCCTGCACGGCGACCGCAGTGACTCAGTCACGAACCCGACGGTAACCGCGGTAGTTCCGAGACGCCGTTCTCTGTGGAGCCGGACGAAGAGATTCGTCCGGCGAATGGTTTGTTGCGGAGCTATAGACCGCAATGTATAGTGTTGTGTACTTGTGTGTTTTGCGTGTTCATCCCAAGCTTGATCGGCACTTTCGTGTCCGGTCCTCATGTTTGCCGGGAAATCCGTCAAAATCTGTTTACTTCCGTCATTGTACGCGTTCATTCTGAGTTTGCTCCGAAGTTTGGACGTTTCCCCAAGTCACACGCGCTGTACTGACTTTGGTTACCGTCGAAATGCGCCGCTTGTATCATATAGATCTGCTGTGGAAGAAATCGTCGGTAAATACTGCTGCCCTCCGCTTTTATAATTAAAAAAATAAATTATACCGATTAATTATTATAAATGATGGGTATTAATACTGCCGTATATTATGTATAATCGAATAACCATGACCTATATATTATGTAAGTTTACACAAATAAATGTTTTTGTTTTGTTATTTATTTGATATTATTATTTAATAAACGCGTCAACACGTTGGGGTAAAATTAACTTATGCGGCTTGTGAATAGTAATATGTTGTCTAAATTGTATAGGTACAGCCGTACAGGTTACTTTCGGTTGTTCTTCACCTACTAGTGTATAAACCTCACGAGAAAACTTGTATTGAATTTTCAAGATTTTTGACCAAAAAAACATAATAATATTATCAACAACTAGCAAAGTTCATTGAAAAAAACCAAAAACACTACGATATCATGCAAAGAATGGTACTTACGTGTAATAATAAGTTCTCCGTGGATTTGGATTTCACCAAATTGCTTAATAATTTTATATTTTTCTATAGTTTTGACAATGACATTTTCATAACATTTAAATTAAATCGTTTTATACTAATTCATATTTATGGATATACTATATTATATTATATTATATGGTTTTACGGCTACCGCCAAGGGTTCCTCCCTAATTATCAAACTTCGTAACTGTGATGGTTTCCATAAACTTGTCGAATATTGCAACGACTCGGATTTAGAATGCCATACGTGGGCACCCGTCATACCCGACCATTCAAAGTGTTTATCCGCTATCTACATCATACTATACCTGTTGAAGATATAGAGAGGGCCCTCCGGGATTAGGGCTTCTCAATCATAAGTGCTAAACGTCCGCCACCGAGTTAGCAAACATGCTCTACCACTATTTACCGTTGTCCTAGAAGCAATGGATTTTAACCGGAGCATTTTCCAATTATCCTCCCTCTTAAACTCCAAAATAGTTGTCGAAAAACCGCATCAATCCCGTTACCCTCCAAAATGCAAACAATGTCAGCGATACGGTCACACTCGTTCTTACTGTAGTGAATCACCACGTTGTGTCAACTGACGGCAGCAATCATAACACCGTGGACTGTGTCAAATCTTCGGAACTGCCTGCGAAATGTGCGTTATGTTCTGGCGCACATACCGCGAACTATAAAGGTTGTCCTTCATTAACGAAATTTTTTTAGTTTTTTTCTAAAAATATCAATACAATTTTATTTGTTGGTTGCGAAAGCTTGAAAATTTAATAGAAGGCTCCTAGTATATTGTTTCAAAGGCAGATGAAAAATATTAAAAATCCTTAGTCACAATTTTTTTTTATAAGCATTTAAAGTTCAAAAATTGACAAAATATGGAAAAATCACGAAAATTAGCAAATTATTTTGAGTTAAGAATTCGTAAAAATTTTTCTCTTTAAATCTAAGATTTGAAAATGTAATACAAGATTCCTTATAAGATTATCTACCTTTATCAAAAAAAAAATGTCTATAAGAAAGTCAAATTAAATTTTTATGAGCGTTTGAAATTCAAATTTTTACAACATTGGATATTCACTCGATTTCTCATGTAGCGGTTTCCTTATTTTGTTGCAATTCAAAAACGAAGAACTGTAAATACATGAAAATATCATCTGAATGTTCATATTAGCATTTTCTATACACTGTACAATTTTGAAAATATTTTGACTTTTTTTGAGCTGTTTACGGGCATTTTCAGTTTTCAATTTTTTAGTTTTTTTTTCTATAAATATCAATAAAGTTTTATCTGTTGGGCCAAAAAGTGTAAAAATTTAATACAAGGCTCCTAATACATTGTTACAATAGCAATTGAAAAATTTTAAAAATACATAGGCACAGTTTTTTTTTATAAGCATTTAAAGATCGAATTTTGACAAAATTTATCAAAATCTCGAAAATTATCAATCATTGTAATTAATAAATTATAAAATGTTAATTTTGCATAGCTAAGGATTGCAAATTTAAAACAAAGGTTCCTAACCTAATTAAGTTTAAAAAAATAAAAATGGTTTTTTATAAATAAAACGTTTTAGGCGTATGGTTGCTTAGAAGAGGAAGGATTTCACCATTTGAGTGTGAATCACTCCAGTCAAATTTCTGAATCCAGAAGAAGGCGCTCATACCAATAATGTCGAGGGTCTGTGATGGCACGCAAAAGCCTCTGTCCCAATACTGCCGAAAAAAAAATGTATGGGTGTTACATTGCCAAATTCATGTTCATTAAATATTGTCGAACACAAAAATTGGACACGCTGACGGAATTTTTTTTAATACACCGGCGACAACCATTTGATTCGCTGTTGTTGAATACTTGAATGATATTTCCAAAAAAAATACGAAGAAACCGGAATCTAGTACTGATTCATTCGCGTGGGAGCTAAACTGAAATCGTTCCCACTTCCTGTCATCTTTTGTTATTTATAGTTTATGTGTAATGATGTTTACATATTGTTTAATTAAACCTGTAAAATGACATGTCCCCCCGACTAGAAAAAAATAGTCACCATCAGATTTCGATATTTTGGAAACCGCTGAAATGGTTCACAGGCATTGCCAACAGATCAATCGAGGGACATTTTCGTTCAGTGGGTACGGTCGCACTGGTGTCGCTGGCCTTGTGATAAAAATAATCTGACGAAATCAATTTTCTCTTTTGTTCCCTCTAATATAAGTCAAAACGTCCCTCTCAAGTCTGTTCACTGTGCCGTGAAGTTTCGCGTTCGATTAATAAGTTCGTCGATGAATCTCCTCCATTAGAATAATGTGGACGTCATTCAAACCAGAGAGTTTTTTCGATCGGTAGAACACTAGAACTGGTGGAAGGCATCGAATACCTTCACCCCTTACTTCAACTTGCGCGACATGTCGTCAAACAAAATCCTATGTGATAGTCAATTGTGATAAATACCTAATATCTATAAGTTAGTTTATTTAATTATTTATGATATATATTTATTTTGTTAATATATAATATGTATTGGTATATATTATGTATATAAATAAACATATTCCGTTAGTTAAGTGTTTGAAGAGTTTAATTTAATTTGGTTGATACGCTGTATAGTTTATTTTATTGTATTTCTTTATTTCTTTATTATACAAATATAACATACAATTTCTTGTACCGTGAGTGTGTATTAAAAGTTTGACTGTATAGCGGTGTGACAATGAACGTTCTTGGGTCTAGAACAGCAACAACGGTCAATCGTGTACCTGATATGGGACAACCAACCAAGCCGCTGACCAACAGTCCACCAGTAACAAAATCTATGTTTCAACATGTAAAAATAGAACATTTGGTGGCTGGATTTTCAGGCGGAGTTGCGTCGACACTAATACTTCATCCCCTAGATTTATTGAAAATTCGATTTGCTGGTGAGTTATTAATATGATTTTTATCACCCTTTAATTTAAATTTAAATATAATATAATTATATGTTTTACAGTCAATGATGGAAGAAATGCAATACCAAGTTATGCTGGACTGGGAAATGCAGTCACTACAATATTTAGACAAGAAGGAATTAAAGGACTTTATAAAGGAGTAACTCCAAATGTTTGGGGATCAGGAAGTGCATGGGGTTTTTATTTCCTATTGTAAGAAATTCTATTATTACTAAGTAAAATAATTATAACTAAAAGCTTACAATTTATATTTTTAGCTATAATTCAATTAAAGCTTGGATTCAAGGTGACAACACTAAAAAACCTTTGGGTCCAGCATTACATATGACTGCAGCAGCAGAAGCAGGAATACTCACATTAATGATAACCAATCCAGTATGGGTTGTCAAGACTCGTTTGTGTTTGCAGTTTGATAAACCCAATGATCCGAGCAAGTCGTACAGTGGCATGTGGGATGCATTTCGAAAGATTTATGGTGCTGAGGGTGTACGAGGCCTGTACAAGGTATTCTAGAATACCTGACAGTTTGATGAATGAAATAAAAAATATTTATTGTGTGGGCTAGATTTATATAATTTGTTCTTTGTACATTTAATTTAAACTAAAGATAAATACATTAGATGAATTTTAATATTAAAAGTCTGAAGTAAATTAAAGAGCAAATGAAAATATATTTCACAAAATATGAAAACTATGAAAACTGAAAAATTATTTAATCTGTTATTTAAAAAATTGAAGCTTAATTATATAACACATACTCACTGTTTATTTTAAATATCTATGTATATATATTTTAATTAAACTTTAAAAGTACATTTTAATTTATAATCTAATTCCACACTCTTTGATAGATGTTGGGTATATTCATTTTGTATTTGTTTAAGTAGTAAATAACAGATGGGTATAATAGATACCTATTCCCAAAAATAAAAGTAGTTGGTCATGTACGTTATTGTAGGGCTTTGTTCCTGGCATGTTTGGCGTATCTCATGGTGCCTTGCAGTTCATGACTTATGAGGAGATGAAAACTTTTTATAATGAATACAGAAGATTACCAATTGATGCTAAACTGGTGAGTTATAATTACAAAGTGATAAATTCAAGAGACGTGGCACCCGCATGTGTTGTCTCCTTCTTACAAGTGCGGTACATAGAAATTTGTACGCTCAGCTGATCACGTTTAGCTCCGTTAGTATAACAATGGGTGAATTGACCTATTATAAAATTTAAAGGTAAGATTATTATTTAAGCAATGTATTATGTTTTTTATTGTATTTTTATTTTTAGCTAGGTATGAGTATTTTATACTCAATACTTCAATACTCATAACTCGTTTAAATATTAAAACATAATAAAAAGCTTAAGCCATTGCTTAGATAATAATCTTACCTTTAAATTTTATATGAGCTCAATTCGCTCATTTTTATACTAAAGGAGTTAAACGTGATCAGCTGAGCGTACAATTTGCTATGTTCCGCACTTGTAAGACAAAGATGCGGGTGCCAAGTCCTCTCAACATAAGACACTTGAATTATGAGTGTTTTTGTTAAATCAATCACCCTGTGTATTCAAATTGTAAATATTAAAATATACTAATCATATTTAATTATTTACTACAGGAAACATCCGAATACATTGTATTTGCTGCGTTTTCAAAATTAATAGCAGCTGGTTTGACATATCCGTATCAAGTAATTCGTGCGAGACTGCAAGATCAGCACCGTGAATACAGAGGCACTTGGCATTGTATAACCCAAACATGGAGGTACGAAGGTGCTGGTGGATTCTATAAGGGATTATCGCCATATTTATTACATGTGCTTCCAAATATTTGTCTTGTGTTGTTGATATATGAGAAATTTACAAACAATTAATATTCTATTACTTCAATATGAGTTTAAACATAAACAAAACTTATCAGTCCTTTGTTAGTTTTTTGATTCCAAGTATTTTTATTTTATTTATAATTAGTATTAATAAAATGTTTTATTCTTTATGTTAAAAATAAAATTATCTGTCCCTCATATTTATATATTGATATAATTATAAATATGTATATTTATACACATCAATTGTGCAATATTCAAAGTTAAAATTCCCTTAAATACAAAAGTTAATGACAACTGAATAAGTTAAATAAAAAGAAAAGTTATCAGTCTACATTTATTTGATTTTTTTTCATATAACACGATTATTGCCTTTTGACAAATACTTGCCCCATTCAAAATTATTTCTCTTGTAGACAGAATTATGCTATGACAATACTCCTTTTAGTTGTATGTGTATTTTTAGAAATAATGTAATATATGTTATATTTCTTTGTTTTCAATTCTTTTATTTCTTAACAGTTAATCCTAATTACTCAAATTTATTTTACAACTGGTATTTTGTTTTATTTTTAATATATATTATATAATTTCATTTGATGTGATGAAGTAAAATCATTTTAATTTTATACCGTATTATGATAAAGTAATAATTTCCGAAAGTTATTTTTTAACATTTGTTCTGTCGTCGCGATACACTGATAATTGCAGTTAAAATAAACTAAGTTAAAATATTTTTATTGTTTCTATTGATTTGATTTACGTTCAAGAAGTATTTTGTATAAATATATTCTTTTATATCATGTTCATTGTTACTAAACATGTAAAATATAAATATAGATCACGTGATTAATACATTTGTAGTTCGTTTTAACATGTCATTTAACAGTGTGTTGCGGTGCTGCCAGTAGCATAGCAAAACAATTGGTAAGATATTTTTAATTACATATTAAATGTATTGATTTCAATAATTTTATTTTTATTCAGGTATGAAAGAACACGAGGATTTTATAAAGGAATTGGGCCAAATCTATTGAGAGTTGTACCAGCAACCATCATCACATTTCTAGTCTATGAAAACTTATCTTCATATTTAATTAAGTTGAATACTATACCTTAATAGTTAAATTTTAGAATAGTCATTAGTTATTCCCATAGATTTTGTGATATTTTTTTTTTATGAACCTTATTAATGATACAAAATAACGTATACAAGACTAAGAGTTGGTAGTTAGTAATTATTGGCTACTATTGTACTTAATAATGTTTATTCAAATTATTCGTTAGAGTAAATGTGGTAAAATTATAATATTTAAGCAGTTAATTGAATTTATTTATTTTATATCAAATAACTGAGAAATAAATTCTTGATGAAATATTACATTAAACTAGTGCTTCTCAACCCTTTTTTTTATTACAACACCCTAATTTAGATCCATATAATGCAACACATTTAAAACAATTAATGTATTTTTGAAAATGTAACAATTATATTATGTAATATAATTATATGTAGTATAAACCTATATGTAAATTGAGAATGAGAATATCTTCACAATTATTATTTTTATCTGTGGGTTTTACTATCACGTCATAATGCCCAAATAATGTAATATAACATATATTTATACTTTAAACACATACAATATAAATGAACAATTTTTTGTTCACGACACGACGGTTGAGAACCACTGCAATAGACTAAGTAAAAATATCATTGAAATTTACTTTTGGTCACAAGTATGTTTTAGAGTTAATTTTAATGCATTGTAAAAATAATATAAATGATTACTAAAAAGTTTTACTATTTTAATTTATATAATATTGTATAATGTAATGTGTAATGTAGTATACTTAATGCATTAATTCTACTTAAAATTGCATTATGTTAAGTCTTGTAGTTTTGTAACAGAAGTGCATTGAAATTTGTATTACCAAACAATCAAATACCTAATTAAGAATGTATTTATTTTAGACAAGGTATGATTATTGTTTCTTATTTTATTAAGATGAGTAACTATTAGTTTTATAACCTAAGTGACTGATATTTCTGTTCTCTTTTAAGCATGAAGACCAGAATAAAATATTTTTTTTTATATAAGGAGATCTCGTACGGCTGGGCGTCCGCATGAAAAACTGTACCCGAAATAAACCAGCCTCTGATTGTTTAATCGTGCCACTTATTTCGGGACATTATCAGAACTCAGAAGCGGAGTTTGGTCTCCTTATTCTAGTTTTCACTATTAAAAGAAATATAGTAATGTGATAAATGATAATGTTTCCCAAAAATATGATTCTACTCTTCTTGTTCAAGCCAAGATTATGCGTCCTCTTTGATTTGTCCCCCGGGGCTTTGGAGCCCCGGGGGACAAGACATTTATTAATGTGATATCTTTATATTAAATAAAGATATATAATAATTATTATATATAATTCTACTGTAAGTACGTGTGTTGTGATTGAACTCCTAAACGGTTGGACCGATTTGAATGAATTTTTTTGTACTCGTTTGGGTGACGCCCCGGATGGTTTAGATTCACAAATCATCCCCCTAGGTTCAACCAGGGGATGTGCTCAAACGAAGATTTAGAGATTTACGGTGGAAATTTTTGTTTATAAATGGTTGCCATGGGTCTTAAAGCTATTATAATAAAAATTATTGCATTTAATTTTTTTTGTACGCTGTGTTTTGATATTATATGTATCGCAATTACGTAAATATTGAGCGTATTATACTCACATATAAGTTACCACTTACGTACATAAAACAATGCCACGTCTTCGTGCGCTAGGAGGAAATATTGGTCGACAGACTCGGCATTCACAAGTAAAATTTGGTGCTTCTAACTGTATGAACAGCATAAGCTTCATCTAAATATTTTCTACCTACCAACATAATATATTTTGAAAAAATAAGAAAATCAAATATAAAAAGGTGGTTAAGTGGATGTCGCTCTGCTGTACAGTAGATTACATGTGGGTCACTGTAATGAATGGTGTTAAATTTGAATTCAATGATTTAATATCATTGTATAAGAAAAACGATTCTGAGCGAAGACGGTCAGTCAGCCTATGAAATTCGGTGGCGTGGTGAAGTGAAATATTTTATAGGGCAATTCATTTTTTGATTGATGACCTACCACCCATCCAGTGGTGTAACCAGGGGGGGCCCCAGTGGCCATGCCCCCCCTAGAAAAAATTCTGTATAGGTACGCAACTGCTGATCCACCCCTTCACTCAGTACTTACGACTTACCCTATGGCAATTACGGCATTACCCATGTGGCATGTACAATATGCATAGCAAACAGTGGCATACACACAGGGGGGGGGGGTTGGGTGTTCAAACCCCCCTTTAACTTTTTAAATATACGAATACCTATATATGAAAATTTTTAAACGACGTATTTTGATAAATATATATATATGTATAATTTTTAATATAACCCCCCCTCCCCCATATTACCTACTAAGTATATTTGAAGATATTAAGGTGAATAAAGTAATTTATATATAACCCATTTACGTGGAATCTTGTTTTAAATTTTCAATCCGTAGCTATAAAAGTTGAACATTTTATACATTTTTAACAACAAAATAATTATTAAATTTTAAGTTTAATAAATGTGTTGTCAAAAAGTGCTCTACTGGACAGTAGGTTACAAGTGGGTCATTGGTATTACATTTGAATTAAATGATATAATATCATTGTATAAGAAAAACGATTCTGAGCGGAGACGGTATGTCACTCTAGGTATAAGACATATTATAACCTTATCCATTTTATTAAAAAAAATTGACCTATAATAGGTACCTATAATTAATTCCAAATTAATCATATCACAATATCCATTAGGTACTTACTACTTAGATATACCACGTTATACATCGACAACAAACCCTGATATTATCATAGATATATAATAGTGTATTAGTGTACCTACTTTAGAAGTTTCAAGTACCAAAGAATAATATTATACAATCATAACAAAATAGGAAACTAAAATAGTTATTCTAGGTTTTTATTATGTAATTTCGTCCAAATTTGAACTTAAAATGATTATAAAAATTAACTGTGCTTGTGTATTTATTTAAATTTTTTGGTAACAGAATTAACTACCTACGTGGAATCTATTGTTACTATACACCATAAAATTTTGAAAATATTTTGACTCTCTTTGAGCTGTTTACGGACATTGTCAGTTTTTTAGATTCTGAGCGGAGCGATGAATGTATTGGTTTTACAATGATGTATGTTTTTATATTTTTATTTATATTTTTTTTTATTTATATTTTTGTGTCTGTCATCACGTTTTAGGACAGTAAAAGTGCTTGGATTTTCTTCATCAGTAGCTTTTCTGATAGGAAAGTGAATCTAGTTGGTACTTTGGGGAGTCAAAAGTATAAATTTCCCAGTAGTTTTCACAAGCGCCGGGAAAAACAACATAAAAATTAAGGAAAAACGGGAATTTTTACGCAAAATTGGTTTTCCAAAAAATCGATTTTGGTTATTGGTGTAACTCTAAAACAAATGAACGTATATACATGAAATTTTCACTGGTTGTTAATATTTGCATTTTCTATACACGATAACATTTTCAAAATATTTTGATTTATTTTGAACTGTTTAGGGACATTTTCATTTTCCATTTTTTTTTAGTTTTTTTTCTAAAAATATCAATAAAATTTTATTTGTTGGTTGCGAAAGCTTGAAAATTTAATAGAAGGCTCCTAATATGTTGTTTCAAAGGCAGATGAAAAATATTAAAAATCCTTAGTCACAATTTTTTTTTATAAGCATTTAAAGTTCAAAAATTGACAAAATATGGAAAAATCACGAAAATTAGCAAATTATTTTGAGTTAAGAATTCGTAAAAATTTTTCTTTTTAAATCTAAGATTTGAAAATGAAACACAAGATTCCTTATAAGATTATCTACCTTTATCAATAAAAAAATCTCTACCGGACAGTCAAATTAAATTTTTATGAGCGTTTGAAATTCAAATTTTTACAACATTGGATTTTCACTCGATTTCTCATGTAACGATTTCCTTATTTTGTTGTAATTCAAAAACGAATAACTGTAGATACATGCAAATTTCACTAAATGTTCATATTAGCATTTCCTATACACCATACAATTTTGAAAATATTTTGACTCTTTTTGAGCTGTTTACGGACATTTTCAGTTTTCAATTTTTTTAGTTTTTTTTTTTATAATTGTCAATAAAATTTTATTTGGTGGGCCAAAAAGTCTGAAAATTTAATACAAGCTTTCTTATATATTGTTACAATATCAGTTGAAAAATTTTAAAAATACATAGGCACGATTTTTTTTTATAAGCATTTAAAGTTGGAATTTTGACAAAATTTATCAAAATCTCGAAAATTATCAATCGTTGGAATTAAAAAATTATAAAATGATCAGTTTTTATAGCTAAGGATTACAAATTCAACACAAAGGTTCTCATAAACAGTTCATACTATAACCAAAAAATCTAAAAAATATATGAACACACTTATATTTTACAGACATTTTAAATTCAAATTTGGACGAAATTACATATTAAAAAACCTAGAATAACTATTTTAGTTATTTTGTTGTGATTGAATAATATTATTCGTGGGTACTTGAAACTTCTAAAGTTTACTATTATATATCTATGATAGTATCAACTATCAAGGTTTTTGTTGATGTATAACGCCTTATAAGTATCTAATGGATATTGTGATATGATTAATTTGGAATTTATTATAGGTACCTATTATAGGTCAATTTTTTGTTTAATACCATAAATATGTATATAATATGTCTGATACATAGACTGACATACCGTCACCGCTCAGAATCGTTTTTCTTATACAATGATATTATATCATTGAATTCAAATTTAAAACCATCCATTATACAGTGACCCACTTGTAACCTACTGTACAGCAGAGCGACACCCACTTGCCCACCTTTTTTTTCTATAAATATCAATAAAGTTTTATCTGTTGGGCCAAAAAGTGTAAAAATTTAATACAATAAGGCTCCTGATATATTGTTACAATAGCAATTGAAAAATATTAAAAATACAGACACAATTTTTTCTTATAAACATTTAAAGATCGAATTTTT